TTTTTGACTGACTGCGACGTCTTCCAGAGGAATTGAAGCCACTGTCAATCTCCTAACGGTCCTGCACTCCATGCAAGGGCCGCAGCAAGGCGCTGCTCTCAGCTGTCCTTTGCTGTTACGTGATTAAGCAGTGTCACATTTCTCATGTTTTACACGGAAGTTACACGGCAACGTCTGCAGCAGGCCCAGCAGGCTCCTCTGCTTGAGACTTCTCAACCTTTTCCTCTGTCACGGCTGGGCCATGGAACATGCCGCCATGCTCACGCCAGTAGTAGAGCGGGGTCAACAATGCCCAGAACATGACATAGCCCGCATGCACTTGGAACGGAATCAATGGGTCATTGATAGGTCGGTAGAAACAAAAGCCGGCAATGACAGCTCCCAAGTTGCCACCAGCCCCCACCAGTGCAGACACCACTGCCAGCTGTTGCTTGTTCATGAAAGGCACAATCCCATAGCTCGTGCCTTCTGCCATCTGGACAAACAAAGAGAAGCAAACAAGTACGGCCAGGGCCACATACCATGGTTGCGAGTTGTCAACCAATCCAAAACAGAAAAGGAAGATCGCCTCGAAGAAGAGGGCCAAGAATTGCGCCCAAATACGACCACGGAACCCTACGTACTTGAAGAGGAGATCACTTGAGATGCCACCTAAAGAGCGGGCAAAAAAGGTTCATCAGCCCGAAAGCTCCTGCCAAGGCAGAAGCATCGGCCGCAGGCAGCTGGAAATAGGTTCTGAAGTGAGTAGCCAATTGGTTGTTCATGGCGAGTTCCTTCAGTTGTGGCAAGCGACCCTGCAAAAAGCTTAAACCCTATTGCCATCATTTCCACTACAAAACTGCAACTAAACAAAACCTGCAGTAAGTCGATCGATCATCAAGACGAGCAGCTGTGCCAAAGCATGCGGAATACTGGAAGATCATCACAACCACACGAACGTCTTTCAGCACTTCCACATAGTCCCACATGGATGGCTTCTTGGTCTTGCCAGTAACAGCCACATCAAAGCGTTTAGCCGTTGGCGTGTCCCAGCACAAGAGCTTCATTGCTGCCGCACAAATGAGGAAAAGAATGGCCGGAATGATCATAGACACTCGCCAGGCTGTGTCCGCTTCCATACCGCTGCTCACCATAGGGTTGAAGAGCACAGAGATCATGAAGATCTGTGTGACACCACCACCCAAGTTGCCCCAGCCAGCTGCGGTGGCATTGGCAGTGCCGACCACATTCGGCGCAAACATCAAGGAGCACCAGAACTGGTTCGTCACGAAAGTGGCCCCAGCGCATCCAATAAAGAATCGGATGATGGTGTATTGCCATGGAACCTGAATTGTTGCAGCCAAAGCGACCCAAATGGCTCCGAATGTCAATAGACCTGACTGCACATTCACGGGGCCAAATCGCTCCAAGAGCGTTCCAAGTGCAATGCGAACAAAGATGGTCGATGCTACAGCTGCCACTCCAGCATTGGCGATGATGCCATTGCACTGGGTTCCAGTGGTGCAAACGCATTTCGCCAGCACCTGAGGTCGGTACTTGAGCTTCTCCTCAGCAGATGCAGTGGCGTTGTTGGCAATGTCGCTTGGCACTTCAGCACAGTCAGTGAGTGTGCCCTCACTGTCCTTCACCGTGCCATATTGGCAGTATGTGTCCGTGGTAGAGATGTTCTTGTACTTCAAGTAAGCCACTCGCTTGGGGTTGGTATCCACTGGATAAAGCTGGTTCTCGCACCGCCCCATGCTAGTGGCCACCTCCAGTCCCAAAGGCGCCAAAGCAAACCAACCCAAGAAGGCCAGGAAGAAAGAGAAGGTCGCTCCCCAGAAGGCTCTCATATGTGGATTTTGTTGAACAGTGCCACAGATTCGCAGCAAGGGCAGCTCTGTGGCCTTGTTGTTCTCATCAACTGCAAGCTTGAAGTCCGCCATCAGGTCAGTTGCAAACAAATGCTAGGACTTCCGTGTCTCCGTGCAAATGGCTCATCACATATGCTAATGCATAATGATCCCTTTCCCATCAAAAGAACACAAGTAGATTCATGGTGTGTAAATGCATGTGTGTCATGTACCTTTCAAAAGAACTACTGTACATAATATATATATAT